GTTGTCAGAAGGGACCATTCCCTGGAGAAGGACGTCATGGTTGGTAAAGTTGAGGGTCAGCAGAAAAGGGGAAGAAGACCCGCAACGAGATGGACTGACACGTGGCTGCAGTGACAGGCACGAGCAGAGCAAGGATTGTGAGGCTGCACAGGACTGGGCTGTGTTTGCTTCTGGTGCACACAGCTTCACTACGAGTGGGAACCGACTCAACGGCACCTAATAAAACCACACATGGATCCTCATCACAGTCCCACCCCGCCCACAGTGAAAGCCAAAGCGGGAAGGACCTTAGGAACCCTCTCAATCCATGGATGGAAAACGGAGGCTCAGAGGGAGGATGGAACCGTCCAGGTCTCTGCAATGGTGATGTCTCCATCTTCGTCTTCTCCCTCAGCTTCCTGGTCACCCAAAGATACTCCTTTCCTTCAGGGAACCTGTGAAGGGCCCAGAGAACCTTTCCTAGTGGGAATGTGGGTGGGGGCTGCAGAGGGTCCAAGCTGCAGCCAGGGGAGGCCCAGGGGGATGTCTCAGCTGGAAGGAGAAAGCAGCCGAGACAAAGAACAGGGAGCCAAAGCCCCGCCCAGCAGCTCCAGAAGCAGAGCCCACCCTGTCCTCGGAGTGGCCTCACGGGCCACAGCCCACCCCGGGCACGACCACCACCTCCTAACGCTTCCTCTGCGGGCACAGACCTTTCTCTCTTCCACTTCCCTCTGTAGCTCTCTCTCTGTCTGTCTCTGCTTCACTCTCCGTGTCTCTGTCTGTCTCTCTCTCTCCTCCTCTCTCTGTCTCTCTGTTTCATTCTGTCTTTTGCTGTCTGTCTGTCTGTCTCTCTCTCTCCCTGTTTTCTCTCTTCTCTGACTCCTTCCTCACCTCTCTGTCTCTCTCTCCCTTCCCTGATTCTCTCTCCCTTTCCCATCTCCATGTTGCTGTGTCTGTCTGTCTTTTTCCCTGGGTCTGTCCTCCATGTCTCTCTCTCTCCCTCTGTGTGAAGGTGTCCACCACGCTCTGCAGCCCCACACTTCTCCTTGTATCCCTGCCTCTGTCCCTGTCTGCGTCGCAGTCCCTCTCATCATTACGGGCCTGGGTCTCTGTCTATCCCTATCCCCCTCTGAGCCTCTTGGTCTCTCTCTGGTGTTGCCTTTTGGGTGCTGTGTGTGTGTTTCTGTGCCCCACCCCTGCCTCTGTGTTGTTCTTTATCTCTTTCTCTC